TTTGTGGTGTGGGTAGCCGAGGCAGCTAAGCTAGGAATAAATTTTGAGTCATAATTGATCATTCCCACAGTTTTGGTATATCTACTGCCTTTTCTTTCACCTTGTCTGGTTTAATGCCTTTTGTTAGTGTTTCTCCCAGATCCTGCATTTCTTGAAATTGTTGAAAACAACGTGAGCTGCTATACAAAAGGTGGAATATAAATCTAAGACGGGAATAAAGACATGTGCTTTTGTTTCATTTCAGGATCTGGCTTTTTCTAGGAGCAATTTTGCTTACTAATCCCATTCTTCTTCTATGGTACCCCAAACAATGTCAGCCATGTATACATACCCTGGATCCTGGAATGCTTTCTGTTTGTCGTTGTGGGGCCAATGAAACACTTCAAGAGTGGAACAGAACCCCAAAGGCATAAGTTTAAAGCTGCATTGGCTGTATGGCATATAAATGTACGTAGGCATCTGCTTTCTTCATCCAGAGGTATTTGCCAAAACCTAGGTTATGCATCTAGCTTGGAAAATATCTTTCCAACTGCCAAGTCTGATCAGAGTTTCACTCACGCTGGGAAGTAATGATGATTTCATTGAACATACTTGTTTAATTCTTTGGAGTCCAGGTAAATTCTCCGGCCTTCCTCTTTCTAATGAACTATAAGTATGGAAGGAAACTCTTCCATTGATTCTTTAGTATAACAAATAATTATTATTGTTTCCATTCTGTCCAGCTCGATTTCAGTTTTGTTCTTGATGCTACTGGTATACTTCTAGTATATTTCTCATAGCATGTACTGTTGGTTGTGCAGCCTTTAGCAACGTGATGATTTATCGGAAGACGCTCAGCACCATAAAAGATATCTTTGTATCGGCTTAACCATGGAGGGGGCTTTTTTTGGTGATAGTTCTATACTGACAGTCAACATGATTGACTATTGTAACTTTTCAGATGTTTCTAGGCCTGGGAGGGTTCTTTGAGATCTGGTATTACTAACGCTTTTATGCCCTACAGAAAGTTGTCCATATGAATGGAAGTTCATAGCCACCTACCATGCTACTACTGAGTCCTCAGGATATGACTTTAGATGCAGTGTTACTGGGTATAGGACTGCCTTTGGCCTGAGTTTGTTGTAGTCATTTTCAGTGACTATACCGAATGATGGTTTTAGCCCAGCCTTCTTTCTGTTGACTCAAAAAGGCAGAGAGATAGGGATCACTTAATTGAAGATCTCAACTTGTGTCTTCCCTGTTTCAAAACAAGATTCAAATCACTGCACTTAAGAATATTTGAACAGACTTTTTAAAAATTCACAGTCCTAGTTTTATACCCGTTGGCTGGCTATACTTTCAGCATGAATCACAGGGTGGAGATTTCTAGATGAGAGCCTTGAGATCTAAATCTATGTTTTCTGATTTCCTCAATTCTGGCAGATTTGATTGGTACTTAAATTGTTATCACAATTACTTAAATGTGTTTCAGATAAACCTCTGCCTATAAATGCTACACTGACTGGCATAATTATTTCAACTTAAAAATTAGTTTCTTCTATTCTTTACCAACAACTGTCGGAATTCCATTCCCAGCCAAATGAATGGTCCTTTCTTAGCCTGTCCACTCAAAAGTCCTACTGAGTGCAATGGGACTTACACTGATCTGAAAACAGAAATGGATACACTTAAGTGGTGGAAAAAGGGACCAGTCAGCCTAACTCTACTGACAGGTAGACTGGAATTGTAGAGGCTAAAGCTCAAAACGAGCTGATGTTGGCAAATGATGCAAAGAGCAAATGTGTATAAATAAAAGAAAGAGAGAAGAATAGGTATATCAGATTTCAAGATAGCAAAATGCTAAAATACAGCAAAATGCAATAATAAAAACCCTCAGTGCTTATTTTGGCTCAGTTTTCCCTGAGAAGATGGTACATGTTCTATCAGGTAACTATGAAGAGCAGGATGAAGGGGCAGGACTGAAGCTTTCTATTGACAGAAAAAAGATTGATCTATTTTGAATGAGTTTACAGTATGTCTTCAGGACAAAGGAATTCCAGAAGAGTTCCATCTGTAACTCGTTCATGGTCTGGCTAAATATTTTTGTTTTCTAGAGGTGAAGGGCTAGACAACTGCAGGAAAGCAACTAGTGTCCCTATTTTTTGAAAAGGGAGAAATGGAGGATTCAGGGAACTACAAATTAGTTTCATTTAGGCATCTGGGGTGATTCTACAGGTCATTGAAAAATCCAAGAGACATGCCAGAATCAATCTGGACTGTTTTACCATGAGTGCTGACACTGAAGCATGAATTACTCAGAGTAGGTTTTGTCAGCTATAACATCGTAGTTTATTAGCAAAAGTCTTCAGAAATTTCTTTGGCCGCATAGGAAAAGGTAGGCATTGTCTTGTTTACATTACATGATAAAGATTATGTTGTGATAATGAATTATTTTTCAAAGTATTTGGATGTAGCTCAACCTGATGACTTGTTACACAAACAAAATATTAAGTACATCAAAACCATGGTCATTCAACATGACATACCATGAGTTGTGATAATTATTGGGCTGTAATTTGCAGATGTGAGTTTAAAAATGTTTGCCACAGAATATGGATAAGATGTCACATCAAGTCTCAAACATCCACAATCAAATGGACTTGCCAAAGCTAGTGTAAGGATTGTTAAGGTTCTTCTGAGAAAGTCAGGTGATGCTGCAGAAATCCTTGCCTCCTTCTTATGAACTAGAGGGCATTTCCATTACCATATGACATGTGTTCCCATTGGAAAACTCAATAAGAACTCTGCTGTACTGAGCAAAAAACACATATGAATTTCTTGCCAGAGGGACAAAGCTGCATCTCTTCATCCACTCTTCTCAGAAGTGTCAGAGGAAAAGGTCCAAAGCATTGGGGACCTCAAACTAAAGTGATATTGCAAAGTCCTCCACACTTCTATTGGGTGAAAACAAAATCAGAACAGATTATACAGTGTAATCAAAAATCCCTTCCAGTTTCATCTAAAATACACAGAACAATCTAAAGCATCATCAGCCCAGAGCTTAGAATGTCTCGGGCTAAAAGAAAGTAACACAGAACATCCAGATGCTACTACAGTATATGACTTACAAGGAGTCAATGTGCATCAAGTTGCCAAAAGTACTGATTGAATAGCACTGGAGACATTTTATTTAGAAGCAGGGAAATGTGAAAAAGATGGCAGTTATCAGAAACTGAATCTGTGCTATGGGGAAAAATGATATGTTCTTTGCAATAGATTATGTTCTTTTTCTGTTTCAGGTCAGGGTTCAGTTCAAGCTGATCTAAATGCACACAGTTCCATTCGCCTCATGTGTCCTTGCCTCCTCGTCAATGAACAGTTCTCTGTTTTAGGAGGAATTGTTCAATGTCCCTCAGTGCATGCAAAGAAGGGTCCAGCCAGCAGATGTCCCTGTAGTAAACAGCAAAGAATCTTGTCTTGAGGCACCTTTCAGAGGAACCAGTTTATTATCCCAGAAGCTTTGAGTCCTGTATCTCATGAAGCAAACTGCGTTCTGTAAAAGTGTGATAATAAAATGCCTGATCTTTAAAATGCATCAATATTCCATTATTACTTCTATCCAGTCCAAGGGAAGGCAAATATTACCACTACTGCTGAGATCACTGAAAGGATATAGAGCAGTATTTCTCAACCTCAGCAACTTTAAGATGTGTGGACTTAGTTCCCAGAATTCCCCAGTCTGGGGAATTCTGGAAGTTGAAGTCCATACATCTTAAAGTTGCTGAGGTTGAGAAATACTGATTTAGAGGTAGCCCTTGCTTAACAATGTTAATTGGGACTGGCAACCCCATTGCTAAGCAACGCAGTTGTAAAGTGTGATGACATGTGACTCTGCCAACTTATGACAGCAGTTGCAGCAGGTTGTAGTTGTTAAGTGAATCCCGTGCAGTCTTAAACATGATGTCACGTGATTGCCCTTTGCAACCTCATGCTGGCTTCCCCACTGACTTTGCTTGTTGGAAGACAGCAGTAAAGGTTGCAGATGGTGATCACTTGACCATGGGACTCTGCAATTGGGAGGTATTGCCAAGTGCTCAAATCATGATCACATGACTTCAGGGACAGTGCGATGGCTGCAATTACAAGGAACAGTTGTAAGTCCCCTCATTCAGCACATTGTAACTTTGAATGGTTACTGAACAAGTGGTTGTTGAACAAGGACTATCTGTAGAGGGATCAGACATATATAAGCAGCTTTGGATTCTTGTTACATGACACTTCCTTACAAACCAGGGTATCAGGATCCAGGTTCAAGAACTTTTGACATATGAAATTTTGACCTCAACCAAAGCACTGGACACTGTTGTATCTTATTAGTCTACTCCTAAAAGAAGAACATTCTGTTTTAACAGCTAAGAACCGACTGTAGTCTGCCTGCAAGCCTCCATCACTGGTTAAAGTTGCTATGATGTCATGGAAAGTTAATGGATGTCCAAATTCCAAAGAGGCTCATGAATAGAGAGCTGGAAACAGTACTATTTCAGTGTCAGAAGTGAAGGCTCAGTTAAGTTAAAAAATATACATACATACATGGAATTTAGTAACACTGGCATTATGAATTTGTCAAGAAGGATGGAAACAGAAGCAATGTGCTAAATAGATAGGAATATTCAAGGAGGAAGCTGAATGGGAAGTGTATTCAAGTAGAAAAAGCGAAGGTAGCTGGGACTGATAAGAATTGTTTGAATAAAAGAAAAAAAAAGTGAATTGATTAAAAAAGGTTGGTGGGCTTGGTTAGGAGAAAAAAGCAAAGAAAGTGAAAACAAAAATGAAAACAAATACGAATAGAGTGGGATGTTCCTACAGGTTAATTTAGGATAAGTGCAATTTCATTTCACTGGGGGGATTCAAGGGGCCCCGCGTTTACTTTTGCTTGATACAAGCCGGCGCTAGGACCTGGCGGGCGTCGGACAAAGCGAGCGCGCTTCGAGAGGCGAGTCCTGTTCCGAACTTGCTTCTGGCGGGCAAGGGACGGCAGCGGCTGCCTGTTTTGGCTTCGGCGCAGCGCAGCCACCATGCGCGTCAGGTGAGCGGAGCCCAGCGCGGGGCGCCGAGGCCAGTGAGTTCCGCTTGGGGCCGGCTCGGAATGTCTCTAACCTCTTGCTTTCTTCTTCTTTCTTCTTCCTTCCTTCTTCTTTCTTCTCCCCCTCCTTTCGTTTGCAGGTGTCTCCAGCGGCCGCTGCTGCTCGGCTTCTTTGTCTGGCTGGCTGCACCCGCGTCCCCGCGGCGAGGTAAGGCGAGGCGAAAGGTGCGGAAAAGGCGGAGGGGGGGATGCGTTCTTCTCCCCCATCACCCCGCCTGCGGGGGAGCGTGAGGTGCGCGGTTTCCTCCACCCGCGTCCCGGGGGTTTCCCAGTCTTGGACCCTCCGCACGGTTGAGTCGGAAGGGGCTAGCCCGTTCCCAAGGGGCTGTCAGCCCACAAAGGGCGCCGTTGCCTCGCTGAGGTCCAGAAAGCAGCCCATTCCCCGGGGGCGAAGGGGACGCCGCCGGGCGCTTTCAGGGCTCTGAGGCTTCGTGTCTTCTTTTTCCGAAGTTCCACAGGAAGGTTCTCTTAGGAGTTGACGCTACTTTGACAGTAGCCTTACTCGAAAGTAATTTCCCTGGAAATGAGGGTAACTTACTTCTGAATAGGCACGGTCATGTGGTTCTCCTGCCACTCTCACCCGCCAGTTCTCATGGACAATTAGCCCGAATCTGGAACGTTTGGGGTGTTTAAGGGTTAAATCAAATCTTTCTAAATATTCATGAGAATTTGTTAGCTTCGGTGGGTGAATGACTTCACCGGCTGTGCTACAGTGATAAATTCATAGAATAGACTTCAAGGGACTGATTTATTTTCTTAACTTTGTGGAGGTTAAAAAAACTGCCCTTTGGGGTGATTTGATCCCTTTTATGAAGATGTTTTGGCCCTACACAGCCCAAAAACACAATAATGTTTAGTGTTTTGAGATATGGCATATTTGGGGGCTTGTAGTATTCGCTATAAAAGAGCCCTCTCTCCTTCCCTCCCTCCCTCCTGCTCTCTCTCTCTCTCTTCCCCATTCCCCCCCTCCACCCACCAAGCTGTGGTCAAAATTAAAGTTAAATATTTGTCCAGAAGCCACTATTTCCCACTAGTTTTAACCCATTAGTTCTGGTATTGCCCTCTGGGGCAATCGAGAATAAGTCCATTCCTTTTCTTTGTAATAACAGTTCAGATATTTAAAGACTTACCATACTTCTCCTCACTTTTCTTTCTGGAGACTAAACATGCTCAGATCCTTTAACTAGGATCAGAAATTATGGGTGCAATTGCAAATACCTAGATTTTATTTAAAAATAAGGAAAACTTTCCTGATGGTAAGATCTATACACCAGTGAAACAGTCAAACTGTAGAGGTTATAGGTTTTCTACCTTTGGAGGTTTTTAAGAGGAGAACAATAGCTATCTCTTGAGGATGGTTTAATTAATTTTCCTGCACGTTGCAGAAGGTTGGATGGATGAGATGATCCTTGTAGTTTTTTTCCCAGTTCCACAATTTTATGATTAGACTCCAGACTATCTCACCATCTTGGTAGCACTTTTCTGAAGTTGCTTCAAGTTGTCATTGTCATTTTGAACTGTGGTGCCCAGAACACAGTATTCCAAGTAGGGTCTGACCAGGGCAGAGTAGAGTGGAACAATTGCTTCCTGTGATCTGTACTCTGTGGTACTCTTCATGCACCCCAAGATAGCACTGCTTTTTAGGAGATATATCACACTACTGGCTCATGTTTAACTTGTGATTGACAAGAACACCCAGATCCTTTCCACAAGTACAGCTGCCAAGCCAGGTTTCTCTCATCCTAAGTTTGTGGTTTTCAGGCTTCCCACCCAGGAGAAGAATTTTACATTTCTCTTTGTTAAGTTCTACTCTCTTCATTTAAACCCATTGCTCAGACCTATTAGATCTCTTTGAATCTTTTTTTTCCCTCTCTCTTTAAAATATTAGCCGCCCCTCCCAGCTTTGGGTTGTCTGCAGACTTTATAAGCATCCCCTCAACATCCTCATCCAAATCATTGATAAAAATATTGCACAGCGCAGGGATCAGGTCAGAGCCCTGTGGCACTCTGCTTAATACTTCCCTCCAAGCTGGAGCCATCAGTGAGCCCTCTTTGGGTGTGATCATTCAAGCCAATTTTGAGTTCTTCTAACAGTAGTATCATCTAACCCATATTTTACCATTTGATGAGGGAGCATATCATAAGACACTCTGCTGAAAGCTTTGCTGGGGTTCAGGTACACTGTATCTGTGACATTCTCCTGCTCTGCTAAGCTAATAACTCTATCAAAGAAGGAGATAAGGTGGGTCTGACACAATTTCCTTTCAATAAACCCATGCTGGCTCCTATTAATTATAACAAGTCTATCTAAGTGCTCACAGATGTGTAGCTTGATAATGTGTTTGACTATCTTGCTTGGTATAGACGTCAAGCTGATAGATCTTTAGCTTCTCTGGTCCCCCTTCTTACCCATTTTGAAGACACCATTCATTTTTCTGGGACCTCACTAATCCTCCAGAAATTCTCAGTGTTTGTGGAAAGCAGTTCCACAATCCCTTCCTCTAGTTCTTTCAATACTTTAAGATGTAATTTATCTGGCCCTGGAGCCTTGAATTAATTAAAATGAGCATACTTACCTTTGCTTACCTTCTCCTTGTCTATCCTAAGCTGCAGTGCCCTCATTCCCTCACTGGTATAACAGTGACCAGCTACAGTTCCATTTCCCTTCTGAGAGAAGATAGATGCAAAATAGGAGTTTTTGGAAATTCTGCCCTCTCACCATCACCAATTATCTTTTCACCACTTTCTCCTTGCAATGGACGTACACCCACTTTGGCTTTCCTTTGTTTCTAAAGTTCTCTGAAACCCAAAGTATATTCATTACCATTTTCTTATCAAGTTTTAATTAAAACTGTACCAAGGGTTTCCTTCTAATTTCCTGAAAGTTTTTATCCTCTTGCACAAGTAGCTTTTTGCCTTTTTAGTTCATTTTTAGAGTGCTTTAGAATTTCTTTACAATGGATCTCAAAGTATCTTCCTTATAAATAAAGTGTGAAAAGTCTGGAAGATTATAGATCCTGGAGAGAAGATTGTAGAATGAAAGACAGAACATTCCCTCTGAAAACCCCCAGTGCAAGAAGCTTGTATCCCACCTACAATAATTTCACTGAAATATTCTTCTTTGGAAGAAAACCATTTTTGTCAAATTGAATTAGAATTGTTGAAGAAATGCATCTCAACATTTTCCTACATCTTAAAGCAAAAACATCCGCCCTTCCTGTCAGTTTAAAGCCTATTCTGATAAATATCTTGGTACTGAAATGGGTTCTCTTCTGCTTTATTACCCAGTGTTTGCAATTTACACATTCCAGACTAAAAGGCATAGTTGGTGAAAGACTGAGTCTTAGGAAGTAGCCCTGAGGCTATAGCTCAGAAGATCCTCTGCCTGTGTGTGATCCATTGACATTCAATTTAAGATTGCCCTGGCAGAACAGTTTTTCATACTTCAATTGAGCAAACAGAAAGAAATATAGAAATTTTTTCCCTGGAGATTAATATGCAGAAATGCCCTGCAGAAGCATTAGAGGCCTTATTTTATGGGCTATGCAGCTCCGGGCGATCCTTACTGGGCATAGAGTTGAAGTCTGTGTGTGGTACAGCTGAGCACTGAATATGCATCTGATCCTCTCCCAGAAATCTCCTGTTAGACAGACTTTAAAAAGCTGGGATTCTATTGAACTAGTATCCAAGCTGGAAGTAAAAAGATAAAGTCAAGAGTGTTCCTAAGAGTTTAAAGATTAGATGTGTTTTGTAATGCACATTGAGTGCAAATTTACATAGTGATCATCGCTGATATATTGTAAGATTTTTTCCCCTCTTTTCGCCTTACATTTATGACTAAAAATCTAGTTTTTAGATCTTTGACAGTCTTAAACATGCAAGAAGCAATGTGAAGATTTGTTTCCTGTGGGCACGGGAAAGCTGTGTTACTGGCTTTTAGGTGAATGTTTCTAGCTTTTCACATATTTTGCCAAGGAGCATTGACTTCTGCATGCCTTTACCTACATAGGAACTAGTTTATAACGTAGATGAGCAGATCAGCTCTTCAATAGAGGAGACCTCTTGAGCACAAGTGTTTGCCTGGTGAATGTACTGGGGCACTTTAATATTTAAAATGCCTTTGGCTGTTCATGAATATGAGTTAATAAACATGTTAGGTATCTGTGTTATTAAGCTATTAAATGTAAGACACAGTTTTGGCTTTGAAGCTCTAGAGTGCTTAAGTGTGATCGGCACGTACTATCTTTGAGTGGAACCTTGAGTGACACATTCTGTCAACAAATCCACACATTCCATGAAGCTTGTATTGACTAGTAAGTGGGAGAAAGGGAGACTTTTATAATGTGGCTCAATGGGATCTTAGGACTGTTTCATTCTCTGACTTCTGAGGTTAACATCTATTTGATTACAGCGCAGTCAACATGTTTGGGCAAGGAGAGGAAGGTTTGCAGAGGGCAGGTGTCATTTCCCTGTTCTCAACATTGTACCCCAGGGAGAAAAAGTGTGGGGTTTAATTAATTAATTTGTTAGTTTATTCATTCAATATATATGGCTGTCTGCTTGCTATGCCATGGCAGGCTTTATTAATATGAATGATAAACTCCTAATACTGATTAGCACATTTTTGCTGTGCTGTGTCAGAGTGATCTCCCTACTAGATTTGAGCTCTGATAGGGTGATCTAAGAAACCTTCCCTTTGAAGGGCACAGTGCTTCAAAGCTGAAATGTTTCTGGAGGAAAATATGTTTCTGGGTTGCAAAAGAAAGCATTTCTCCTGGTAAAGATCCATACAGGTCTCCTGATCTAAAATCAAGATTAATATACAGCAGATATACACTATTCACATTCCTGATTTTACACCATTCACAATCCTGGATTTATTTCATGGAATACTGGGGAATATAGTAAGATAGCATGGATATCGCATGTAGCCAAGTATAAAAAATAATAGTTGATTCATATCTGGAATATATTCACATAAGAGGCTAAGCATAGCTTAGTATTAACCACTTTAAGAAATTCAGCCCTGAAAATATGCAGGATAAAATGGCATATCAGTTGTTTCTTTAGTTGCCTTTATAGTGACTTGCTCACACTTTCTGATTGCTTTTATGAAATCAAAGAAAAGTCTTTGGGGCCAGAAGCATTGTGTGCAAAAATTGAATTTTTTTGAATTCCATTCCATTCCCTCCGTGTTCCTAGTTCACACACAACACAAACATGCTCTTTGTGGGGTGAAAACAAAGCCGGAGTGGAGAAGACACTGCTGCAGGAGTAACTCCACTGTGGGACTGAATTTATACCCCAAATCTTTTTCCTGGGAGTGGCTTTTAACACAAAGTGGGCCTTTGTCCTGATTTGGATAACCCAATAGAAGATGGAGAAGGTAAGCTGATCAAAATCAAGAAATGATTGCAAGTGGTGTTTATGTTGGTCTGCTTTAATCACAATCTGACCTGTGATCCAGGTTCAGATGACATGTAAGTCAGCTGCATTATGGCTTAATCTATTATGTGAACCAGGTCAGTATGGGTGAAAGAAAGGAAAAGGCATTAAGATGAGATCATCAGCCCTGTTCTCTGCTGAAAAGAAAACAAGTGTCCTAATGAATGCAATGTAGATATTTACCAAGTTTGTCCATGGGAGTTCTTAAGTTTATGCACTACCTGTGATTGTGTTTGTCATCTACCCTGCATTGCTTTAGTACTTATTTATTTTGTTTTCCTTACCATTTCTCGAACTGATGTCTTGTGATAGTCCTAATTTTCTTTTTGTCTGTTCCTGGTCAACCACTGACATTAATTTTGACTTCCAACTTAATGTTGAGATTGGATCTGAAAAGAAAAACAGCTTCATGACTGGGTTTTTCCAGGCTGGCCTTGATAGACATTGATCCACAGCTGTTAGAAAGTGACTTCTATGTATATTTAAAATATATCAGACTCAAGCGTTTAGAAGCAGGCCATGCTGTTCTTCACTGTTGCTTTTCTATAGCTGTTTAATAACTCTAGTTGATATTAGGGTCACAGCAGATGGTAGCACCAGGCTGACCTGGACTGATCTTCAATAAGCAGGATTGGATCTGGTCAATACTTGGGTTAGAGACCACTAGGGTTCTGCTGGTAGTAGATTAAACTGGGGAGACAGAACAGTATCCCTGAAGAAGGCAGTAGCAGTATTCAGTATTGCTGCCAAGAAAACCACATGGCTGTACCTGCATGGTCATCAAGAGTTAAACTTGATTCCAGGGATGTTTTATAATTTTACTTTAATTGTGTTAGGAGGCAAAAGCCAAGAATGAGCTTCTTGATATTGTAGCATTGGTGGTGGTGCTTGACTTTTAACCTTTAAAATCCCGTTGCTTCTACGCATACAAATGCACAGTGGGCCTATAATCTAAGCTGATGTTTCACTTTTTAAGAAGAGAGAATCAACATATACTGATGCATGATGTGGTTGCTTTGTTTTTTTGAGGGGGGAGTTATATGAATCTATGTAATCCAATATTTATGGCCAAGTGTGATACATGAACTAGGGCTACTAGACAGGGGCTGCAAAAATCCGTATGACTAGCAGATAGCAGTATCTTTACTGCCCTCTAGTGTTCATCTGCTTTTTTTCAGTGTAAATCTGGCAGCCTGAGTACAGTATGAACCTTCCACAGTGTGCTAGCTTGTCCTCTGGCTTGCCGTTGACAGCTACTCGTTATAGGGGTATTCTGTGGAAGGAAAGAATGTTAGTATAAGAATCTGTGTGAATTTGGGGTATAATATAATTTTATTTCCCTAATTTATTGCATAAGATAATTTCATTCTGGGTAGTGATTCTTAATACATGTTAGGAAAGATTAATCTATTTTTTCTTCTTGGCTTAGGGAGTCTAACTATGAATGCCTATTCAGAATTACATAATTCCTCATTAAACATATATATTACCTCTGCTATCATGGTCATGGTTAGAGCAGTTGATGTGTGGAGTCCTTGGTACTCTCTGACCTTGGTTGTTTGATTGCAGACATTTCATTACCTGACTAGATAACATATTCAGTGCTTGTGAGTGTGGAGTTTGCTCTCTGTTTATATACAGTAGCTGCTCTGCCAGTGCTGGTGGGGGTGTGGTTTTCTCCTTGGTAGTTCAAAATCATTCAGAAGAGACAATAAGAAAGCTAAGA